TTTTACCTCGGCATTCTCTCAATGAGTCCTGGTCCAAAATGGTTGAAGGCCACTGTAACTTTCATGTTCACGTCTTGCGTGAAACTATCCCTGTGTCCAAGCAACATCACCTATACATACACACATGCATACACACATGCACATCGTTATCTAGACCAATTTGAAACAGTTCATATCAAATAATATTCCGAAAACAAAATAAATCATGGACTGATTCTCCATGCAAAATAAATCGTTATTTAGAACAATTTAACCCACGATTACGTGCTGATTAAGTTATAAGTTTATATACAATATGTCTGCGTACTTGCACGCACGACGTCTAAAAATGAATATAATTATCTATCTATCAATCAATTAATATACATGGAAACGTTATAAAATATATAATTTTAATCCCAATGGCACAAAGAAAAAAAAAAGTGAAAAATCTACCGACTTTGTCATGCTGAGTGAAATAGTTGTTGGAGATGGTGACTCTCGTCGAGGCATGGATCACGTCTATGAGTCCGTCCGCACAGCTGGCGAGGTAACAATGATCGATCCAAATATCCGAAGATGCGAAAACCGAAATGGCGTCGCCGTCCGAGCCCTGACGGTGACCGATGTGGGTCGTGGAGCTCCTCACTAAACCGGACTTACCCGGTTTACAGTCGTGAATGCTGATCCCATGCACGATCACGTGGCTCACGTCTTGTATGGTGAGACAAGGCCCGTACGTGATCTCCACCTTCGCCCCTCGCCCGTCTATCGTCTTGTAACTATTGACCATGAGCTCGTTCTCTAACGTTATGACCATATCCTTGGCGAAAATTATCCACAAGGGCTTGTCTTGGATCGCTCCGTACCGTAACGTACCCGGTTTAGGGTTTTGTGCGTCGTCCGAAGGGTTTGTGACCACGTATATCTTCCCGTTTTTGCCTCCCAGAGCCGAGGAACCGAACCCGACAGCACAATCGGCCAGGTCTTGCCGGTTCGTGGCCCAGTCGGGCTTGAGCCGCCAGCACGAGTCGATAGGGTTCATGACGCTACGTGGCGTGGCCGGGAGATAGTCGGAGACCGAAGGTGTGTAGCCATAGTAGCCGCCACTTGAAGCGAAGACCGGCGAGTTCAAGAAGAGCAGTAGTGTCAGGACGAGACAAGAGACGGGCAAGCCAGGTCGGGTGGGAGAAGTCATTTCGGGTCACCTTTTTCAGGTTAGGGTTTGGGATGAGTATTTTCGAAGAGAAAACCACATGGTAAAGTATTTAAGGAGAGTGAATGATGAGAAAGTGGATAGAGACCGATGAGATTGTGTCGGAAAGATTAGAAGGTTTATGGAGAACACGATCTTGTAAAATTAGTGGGCAAAGTTGTGTTGGTAACTCTTTGGTGTTATGGCAAATTGCAACGCAAGAACTTGTAAGTGGTTGTCCACGAACATCTCTCCGGTCGGCAAGGGGGGCCAAAATCCAATGTTCAACTGATTTTTTTCTATTAATTATATGAAATAAATTTACAAATGTAGATGTTTATTTGGTCAGGTGGGTTTATCAAAAATACTTGATTAATTGTTCTCTTTTTATATAAATCGATTATTATAATCTAGATCTTAGACTTTAGATTTTGTTATAGTATAGTAGTGTAGGTATATATATGACCCAGTCTCGAGTTTGATTGATCTTCAGACAAAAGCCTGCCTTATACTTCAAGTTAATTCAGATGCATTGTTTGAACCACAACCGTATGTCCTAGTTCCTGATTCCTGTACCAGTTCCCATCCCAGAACAAAATATAATTGTAATCGAAATGAATCCGATATAAAATCGAACGATTATGACTTTTCTAAACTCGAAAAAATCAAATTCGAATCCGAACTAAATAAAAAAGTAAACGGAAAAACCGACTTTTTCTTTGAAAAAAATGAGTGTTTTCCTAATAAAAATCGAATTCGAATCGAATCAAAACAAAGTTAATATAAAAACCGAACGATTATAGTTTTTCTATAACTGAAATAACCGGACGCTAATGTAACCGAGCCGAACCCGAAGTGAAAACCGAAATGGCCATCCCTAATCAAGATTGAATGTGGATGTTCGGAGGAAAAAAACGAGATTGGGATCTATATTAAAAGGAATGATCTTTACACAATCTTCCTACAGACATAACAATGGAGAATGGATGTGACATAACTAAGAGACATCAGTATCTGAAGCTCTGTCAAGAACTATCCAGTTGTCAGAACAAATCTAAGAAGTGGTTTTTCTTAGATTTTCATCTCTTTGCCATTACATGTAAATACCAGATGAATCTTTTACTACTTCGTAGCGACCTTGACATTTTTCTGGTTTAGGATAACGTTGAGGATCTTACCGGGCACGTAGATTCTCTTTTTGATCGATTGGCCATCCAAATACTTCGAGAGCTTCTGGTCGGATGAAGCTAGAACGAAAGCATCCTCTTCAGAACATCCTTCTTCAATCTCAATTGTGCCTCTAGTCTTGCCATTGATCTGAACCGGCAGAACAATGGTTGTGTCCTTCACATAAATCGGGTTTGCCTGCCACAAGAACACAGTCATGAATCAGTAAGTTTCGTCTCTTTCTTGTCCGGGGCTTAAAGTTTACCGGGCATATACCTCGGGGAAGGGTTCATATGCCAAAGAACTGTGATGCCCTAACCGTGACCAGAGCTCCTCGGCCATGTGAGGTGCATAGGGTGAAAGCAATAGGACATAAGGTTCGATGATTGCTCTCGGTTGACTATTCCACTGGACAACATCGAGAAAGCACCGAGTTAAAGATTAATCAAAAAGGAAAAGAAAAAGCTGACAACTTTAAAGAAAAGATTTTTCCTTGGCCAAGAACCTTAAATGCAGCATTCACAAACTCCATCATCGCTGAAATCCCGGTGTTGAACCTTGTACCCTCTATTTCTTCGGTAACCTGCGATATTCTTCTCATCCATTAGAGTTACAAGAATAAGGAAATGATGAACTAACATCAGAAAGCACAGGAATGGCATTGATTGGGAAGGAAAGTTCCACAAAATGAATCACACAGATTCACAGGAGAGTGACCTTAGCTATGCATTTATGGAGAGAACGGAGTTGTTCAAGAGTAGGTTCTTCATCAGTCACTACAGTTCCATCTTTGAACGAGCCATCAGATGAAGGCAACCCGACAATTAGCCTCCATGTTCTTGCAAGGAAACGATGAACGCCTTCAATCCCGCTTGTGCTCCAAGTTTTCGAGTCCCTAAAAGCACAACGGAGAAAAGGGTTTCACCATACAAGCAAAGATAATACCTAGAAAGATGTTAACTTTTGTTCCATGCATCATTCTTGAAACAAAGATTAGGAGACTATGTACCGGAATGGTCCCATGAACATCTCATACAAGCGCAGGGAATCTGCACCATACTCTAGCACAACATCGTCGGGATTGACAACATTTCCTCTACTTTTGCTCATTTTATGAGCACGTGCAATCAGACGAATCCCAGGATCATCTTTCAGGACGAAATGATCTCCAGACTTCATAACCTGCAATAAAAGATGAATCGAACAAGGGGTGGGGAAGTGAAACACCTCAAATCAGCGGGTTTTGGACATCTAGGCGAGCTTATCAGAATGGTACTTCAGCCCATGAAAAAAAAAGCGTACTTTTTCTTCCGGAATCGTCACTTGTTGATATTCATTCAACAGTTCATTGCTGTCTGCAGATACATATTTGCCTTCTTGGTCCTTCCAAGCTGTATACTGGACCTGTAACTCAAAGTCTCAAACCGTAAGAAACAGAAGCATTGTGAGTTTGGATTTCTAGAAGAGTAACACTTACTTCCCCGAGGATGATTCCCTGATTTATGACACACTTGAAAGGTTCTTTTGTTGACACAACGCCAACGTCGTAAAGAACCTGAAAAGATTATAGCACCATAGGTCCTGTTAGGCTTTCAGAAAAACAGAACAAGAAATAACAGGTCAGCCCGAAGATCACTTGAAAAGGCAGTTCAAGTACGCACCTTATGCCAAAATCTAGAATACAGTAAGTGCAGGACAGCATGTTCAGCACCACCTACGTACACATCCACTGGACTCCAGTACCTGTTACAAAAGGAATACTTATAAAAAGATCCACAAAGGGGTGAAAGAATCGCAAAATATGGTATAAATATACGATCTTGTTAAATGATACGGATGATATAAAACAATGGACGAAAAGAGGGGAACAAGTTTTATGTGCTGAAGGCTCACTTTTCTTTTCTCTTGTCAACTAAGGCTTCTGAATTTCTTGGATCCATGAATCTCAAGTAGTACCTGGAGAAGAAAGAAAACGTTATTGGTCAACAATAATGAAAACCCGGATAGAACCCTTTGATTTTCTGGATGAAACCTAACAATGTTTACAGCAAACCCGTAAAAATATTCTAAGGTATTCCATCTAACATAAGGAAGTAGACTATACCCCAACATCTCAAGAGCATTTTCCTGTTAAAAAATACAGAAGGCTCTAAGACATTCCTGGCAACTATAAAATCTTATTTTGTTGCCAAATAGTTATCACAAATGGGGGTTTGTTTGTTATTCATCTGAAATAAGATTCTGAATCAAAATGAAAAAAGAGTTAAGAAAACCGTACCAGCAAGACCCAGCCCATTGTGGCATAGTGCTCGTTTCTCTTTTGGCAGGTTTTCCCAATGTAGGATCCATGGTATTCACCTGGAAAGTCGAGCATAAAACGAAAAGATTACGAAACAACTATGATGGTGGATTGCTTATATAATAAATCTATTATTGAAAACAGAAGTTTCCATCACACCAATAGCAATTATTTACAAACTAGCATAGAGACTGCATCATATTCACTGAATGTCCAGCAAGCAAGAAAGGAAGAAAATACCCATGAAACTGCTTTTGCTAGTGGCGGTTCCCCTGTCCCGGTGGGAGTAAAATCATCTAACTCGGGTAAAATAAGCGGCAGTTCGGATTCGGGAACTGGGATGGTTTCACCAGTATCATCCGAAAACAAGACTGGGATAGGTTCACCCCAGTAACGCTGCCGTGCAAATAGCCAGTCCCTCAACTTGTAATTTACCTGATAAAAAAACAAACAAGTTTGCAATTTTGCATACGAAGCAACAACTAATCACAAGCTTAATGACTAGAAGAATAGGCTTATGTTATAAAGGTGAACCTTTCTCATTCCGTTGCCAGTCTTCTCGGCCCATTCAATAACCGTTGAAGCAGCTTCTTTGCTAGACATTTGATTGATATTGAGTCCTGTTTGTAGGTTTGACGAATTTTCAATTGTGCCCACCCCTGTAAAAACGGTCCCAGGGTCACCAGAATTTGCTTCATTTGATTTCACTACCCACTTGATTGGAATGTTGTACTTCAAAGCAAACTCATAGTCACGAGTGTCGTGAGCTGGGACAGCCATGATTGCTCCAGTTCCATAACTGTCATGTAAAACAAGCTTTCTCCATTTCAACGATTTTGCTTACACAAAAACAAGCAAGAACGAACAACTATAAAGCACAAATGCATTCAAAGGTATTATCAAATATTTGCATAAGCATTTGAACTTACCTCGCCAAAACATAATCTGCTACCCATATAGGAATTGCATCCCCGTTAGCTGGATTTCTTGCATAACAACCTGTGAAGACACCGGTCTTTTCCTTCTGAAGTTCTGTTCGCTCAAGGTCACTTTTCCTTGATGCAAGATCTTTGTATTCCTCAACCTGTAACATAAAGGCATTTCATCTTAAAAAGAAATTGGAAAAGTCAAGAGAGACAAAAAGCATAATCGAAAAAACACCCTCATACTTGTTGTCTCTGTTCTGCAGAGGCAAAGGACAACAAAGAATGATGCTCTGGTGCCACAACTAAGTAACTGCAATCCAAGAAAAAGATTACATGAGGCAATCAAGATCAAGGATTTGAACTTGTTAATAAATACATAAATCCATCTCAGATCATACGTTGCTCCGAAAAGGGTATCAGGCCTGGTGGTGTAAACCGTGATTTTTGTGCCAGATTCCTGGCCTTCAGCGTCAAGAACCAGAAATTCCAATTCAGCTCCCTCCGATCTCCCTATCCAGTTTCTTTGCATTTCTTTTATACTTTCAGGCCAGTCAAGTTCTTCTAAATCTTCCAGAAGGCGATCAGCATATGCTGTAATCTTCAGCATCCACTGCCGCATCGGCTGCTCGGCAATAAACAATGTCACTGTAAAATTCATGAAAACTTTCAAGACATGGAAATACAATTAAAGGTCAGAAATTTGGAGAAAAAAAGACAACTTGCTAAAAACAAAATATACTACCTTTCTTATAACGGGGTGACCACCACGTTCACTAACTCCATCCACCACCTCCTCGTTGGCCAAGACAGTACCAAGAGCCGGGCACCAATTAACAGGTACTTCAGCCTGAATTTAGACCAAGCAGATGTCTAAAGAAACTTTCTATCTGAAAATATGCATGGATTTAATCTGTGAACTAGACATGATGTCTTGACCTGATATGCCAAACCTCTCTTATAAAGCTGAAGAAAGATCCACTGAGTCCATTTATAAAAGTCTGGTTCCGTAGTAGAAATTTCACGATCCCAGTCATATGAGAAGCCTAGTGATTTGAGCTACAAACAAACCCACAAAAAAAAAAAGACACATTAACTTCATGAAGTGACAAGTCCTCACTCTTTCTCCAGTGCCAATCCTTGGAGACATGAATAATGATTTTACTTCCACCGAAAATTCATCAAAGGCTCTCTAGCACATTCTTCAAGAATCAACAAACATATTGATCACAGAAAAGTATCTTATATATACCACATATTGATCATGGGTGGTAAACCAGACATTACACACAACAATCACATTCTTTACCAGATAAAAGAGAAACAACAACAATAATATCTTATATATACCACATTACAGTGGAACCAAAGAAAGTCAGGATCTTTAAGTCCTTCTGTCAGCAGCTGACAGGAAACCGGGAAACAAAAGGAAAGGTTTAATTCCCAAAAGCTACTGTATGTTGAAAATAACCCCATTACCTGGGTTCGGAAGCGTTCAATGTTCTTTGCTGTTGTAACTTTCGGATGGGTTCCTGTCTGAAAAGAAGATTGCAATGCCAGTCAATAACTCAAGTTTATTGCAAAGAACAGGAAATCGAAAGGAGAAAAAAGAACCTCGATAGCATATTGCTCAGCAGGCAATCCGAAAGCATCCCATCCCATTGGATGCAAAACATTGTAACCCTGCATACGTTTCAACCTCGCGAGAATATCAGTTGCCGTATAACCCAGTGGATGTCCCACATGCAATCCTGCTCCACTGAATTCAATAAACCCAAGTGAAAGGAATCATATTTAGAATGAGAGATAAACCCTTAAGAGCATATGAAACCCAAAATCCAACTCAATTATCTGGAAATCCATGGTTCTATAGCTTCACAAAAATTTACTTTCTTTCACATACTCATTATTGGCTCTAGTACAAGAGTGTATGCACATGCGGACATTCATAACTGCACATTCCTGATTACCAGTTACTAGTAATTTCCATCTTAAATACCATCTTCCCGAATCAACAGTCATAGACACAAACTTTACCAAGAATCAGTTTTGTCCAAAATTATACACATAGATGCGTTCCAATCACAATCTTACTTCGAAAAAGCCTCTCAATTAACCGAAAGTTTTGAACTTGAATCCTCCTAACCGACATCAATACCATATAGCAAACCCTGAAAGCCTATACATATACATCAACACACCAACAGAGACATACAAAGAGTAAAAGACCTTGGATAAGGGAACATATCAAGAACATAGAACTTGGGTTTCGCAGTATCGACATCTTCCGGTGTCCGAAACGTACGGTTCTCCTCCCAGTACTGCTGCCACTTGGGCTCGATTTCGTGAAATGGATAGACCCTCTTGGTTACAACAGTCGCCGATGAATCACGCTTCGAATTCCCAGTTTCTTGAGTCTCCGCCGCCGAGCTCCTGACCCCGCCGTGAGAACGGCGGCGACACCGCAATCGGTGGCCGGAAAACGGACGCTTTAGCTGAAATTGGAGCTTCGAGGGAACGAAAACGAATGTATGGCGATGAAACGGGGATTGAACAAATGGGTTTGTCCGGAATTGTAGAGTTTGAGAGCTCATTTCTCTCTCTATGCCTCTCTCTGTTTGTGAGGGGTTTTGCCCGAAGACGGTGTTTTCTCTGGATAATTAGATAATGTGGTCTGCTCTCTCCGGCGATTCGTGTGGAAAGAGCTAAACGACGTCGTTCCAAGAGTTGACGAACATAACGGTCCTCAAGGAAACATCGTCTTTTAAAAAGAAGAGCACAAGTATAGGGATTTCAAATTTCGCCACCATAAAAATATGTTTTCCAAAAACGACCCCGAAATTCAGAATTTCAACACATTAGACCCTACGGTATGGCCTGCCGATCATAATTTCTACCTCACTGAAACCGTATTCTCTTTCACCTATTTGTACAGTATAAAACAACGTATGTACATATCTATACGGGCATAACCAACTGAAAGTTTCGAACTTGAAATTCTCCTAACCAACACTATACATGTTTTGGCAAGAGAGATTCGTTCATTGTACAATTCATATTCGCCGAAGATCAGATCGGTAACACTTTATAACTCAAAGTTCCGACCACAGAAGGAAGGTTTCACGTTTCATTCGAGTGTCTTTAGTACAAAGCTCTCGTCTTCTCTGACAACACAGACAAACCGCAGTCCACATACGACTGTTCCGTGAAGGCTATACAAACTCTCTCTCTCTCTCTCTCTCTCTCTCTCTCTCTCTCTCTCATCACACTCAGACACAGAGACATGCAAAACCCTACAAACTAAAATCTGAACGAAAGAAACTACTTAACTTACCATTCGCCCCCACAACCTTTCACATGAGAGAACCCATATCATCTTTTTCTGCGTTTGGCTTCCACCTGAACACGGTTTCACCATTGACGTCAATGTCAAGCTTGTCCCAGAGAGGAAAAAAAAAACAGAGTAGCAAGTGGGGGTTCTTCTAAAGCACAAAGCCAGAAGCTTTAGAGGTGAGTCGTTAGTAACTAAGAGCTATTTTTATTTGGGGACACAGATAATTGAAAGACCAAATCAATATCTTTCCTACATGTTGGAAAGAACTCGTCACTGAAGGAAAACGACGACTATATGGTTTCATGGGGACTTAACCGTTGGAGGGTAGTTTCTAATTTTCGAACTGAGATATCACCATTGTAGCTTTAAGTGCATACAAGTAGTCAGGACAACAAAACAAGGCCAAAGATTAGATATTTTTGCAGCAAGACATGGAAGTAAGTTATTAGTCTGCGTAACCACTAGGCGGATGCTGTCAAGAACATGCCTTTCTAGTTAGGAAATTTTCACTCTTTACCTCCAAATGACATCAATAACAGGGATACAGACAGAGGATACCAGACAATGGAAAACGTTTTAAGTGGATACAAAAGAGAAAGACCAACTACCTTGACATCATCAGCCGGTGATGAAGAGAAACCGTTCTGCGATCTTTTGATGTCGTCATCAGAACTGCATTCTGAACATGCAAAGTGATCCAGCTTCTTTGCTTCTTCAATTGTCATGCCGACACATGCAGGATGATACCTACAATGATGCAATGTAACTTCCTACAATTAATAAGTACATATTATGTCGGTAACTCAAATTATACAAATTAATAACAGATACATGTTATGTCGGTAAAACTGATATTAACAGAACTTCAACTTTCTTCTTCCTGTTGATAATATCAGTAATGCTTTCCTATCAGGGGCCATTTAGATCCATATTTCACTGAAGAAAACTGTTCTCTTTATTTAGAACAATCAAACCGAGGAGAATAAAAGGATGAATATGAACATTTACCAGTCTTTGCAACCTTCACATTGCACCATGAGATCATCTGGGTTATATGGCATTTCACATGTGCAGTACCTTCAGAACCAAGAGAACCCACAAGATAATCAAAACCACACAGAAATTCAAGAGGAAACGAGCCGTAGTTCTTGATCAAAATTCTATTTCTACTTACACAGCAACTCGGTCTGGAGTAAATGCACCAGTAGCAGCCTTGTACTCAAACCTACAATAATAATCCTCAGCTCCAACGTTTTCAAGCCTCGTATAGTTTTTGAAGGTGTGAACAATGCACTTTCCCTCGATGGTGTGTGCACTTTGAACATCATAGTGATCAGACAAGAACAGCTCTTTGGCTCCATGGAACTGTCTCCTGCCACCGAGAGATTCCTCGGGACGGTAATACCATCGGACATGCACCTTCACATTGTTCCTTGCATCCGCTTCAATCTTCTCCACACGTGCTACATATGGCGGTTTACCAGCATCTGATGGACGCATTAGCACACAATCGCCCGCTGCAAAATAACCATAATGATCATTCTCTAGCTTGAAATGATCAAAACATCAAATGTCAAATTAAAAGTTGTGTTTTTTTCCTATACAAACATTTGGGTGTGGTTATAATGTATCTACCTCCACACTTCACATCTTTACACGTGGATACAATGGCACACATTTGCTCTGATAAACAAATCAAATGTAAACGCACAGACACAAGAACAGGACATTTCGATGTAGTTCAGCTGCTAAAGATTATCTCTTTTTTTTCAGAGCATCTTTAAAAAAATATACAGAAAACAAGCATGTAACAAACAACATAAGTGACAAAGACACACACTGAAATGTCCCTCCATCCCCAGACTTGAAAGCTACTTAAGTTCACTTCTACTGTACTTGCCAAAGCTTTGCCTCTACAGGCAGTGATATATACAGACAAGACAACTTCAGTGAATCAAGACAAGCACCCAATTACAGGTCTTATCACATTTACACACCCGAACGACCAAAATCTATTTTACTTCTAATTACAGATATATATATATATACATACACACACGCACGTATACAAATACACACACACACACAGACACGAATGCATATACAGTACACAGACACGAATGCGTAAACAAGTACCCGCATTACCACACCTAAGCTTCGAACAATCACTTTCTTCTCTGTATATATACATGTATTAACACTTAAATCCAAAAACATGCAAAAGAAATGCATAAATTTGAACAAGTGTATCACTGATTCCAGAAATTAAAAAACACACACACAAACATTGTATCTGAATACCTATGACAACTTTGTTGGTGCCTCTGATGGTATATGATTCAAGCTCCTTCCTGCTCGGCTTGCTCTTGGGACCGACACCAGGTCGAGTTTTCGCCATGGGAGTTTTCTAGAAGCCGGGAAAGCTCTCTTTTTTTTTTTCAAGTTTCCCTCCCCTGAAATGTGCAAAGGCAGGAACTTTCTAGAAGAACGGAAGCTGAGATCGATGGGGAGCAGAGAGACAGAAGAGGAGGAAGACGAAGAACAGATCCCCAGAGCCCAAATGAAGGGAGGAGGAAGAAACAAATCTGGAACCCTAGATTCTCTCCGGGAGAATTTGCAGATTGGGAGTTTTACTGTACATAGGGGCAATTATTTTTATTTATTTTTGGCCAATTAGAAACTTTTACAATTCTGGAAATTTTCATAATTTTGTCTACCCATCCTTTTTTGCCCTTTTTTCTTCACAATTCTTCAAGAAACAGTTTTCTCACGTTTCTAAAAATTTATATTGCATCTTGTTTAATAATTAGCTTTAATGTTAAATTTTCTATAACACGACACTAATCAAACATGCACTGCATTGAATTAATCAAAATTTGAAATGAATAAAATTAAACGCAGAGAAGCCATATTTTATCTCCCCATATAACAAGCCCACAACTGTCTACAAAGCAAAAACAGAGCACAAGACATTTCCATGGCCTCGCGTCTTACAAATCACCAGAACACTTATTGTCTGAGCTCGGACACAATTACACAGTTTGGAAACTACCCATTAAACGGGGAAGAACAAACCTTTCTCATTCTAGAAGTTTCTAGAACTTTTGGATGATGACAGAGTTTGCAAGCCCAGCTTCTCCAATGGTTTGAGAAAGATCAGTCAGCGGCTTTGGAGGGAACCCCATCATCTGGAGCTGATAGTTTCTAGGGTTTCCGGACCGAGAAGAAGCATCGATGAAAGCTCGAATGTCGTTGATGGTGTGACGGTGATTGAACTTCGCCACCAAGCGGGTCCCGTCCCCTAGCCTCAGCTGGATCGAAGTTAATGGAAGGCTTTCATCCACTACAATACCGGAAGAAGTGGTGGCTGCAGTGTCTGTTGAGCCGGGAGCGAGTTCAGTAGCCACCGGTTTCCGGACCGAGAAGAAGCATCGATGAAAGCTCGAATGTCGTTGATGGTGTGACGGTGATTGAACTTCGCCACCAAGCGGGTCCCGTCCCCTAGCCTCAGCTGGATCGAAGTTAATGGAAGGCTTTCATCCACTACAATACCGGAAGAAGTGGTGGCTGCAGTGTCTGTTGAGCCGGGAGCGAGTTCAGTAGCCACCGATGAA